AAGCAAATAATGTTCTAATTTCATTAATAGGCTGAAATCATGAATCATGATAATATATGTAAGCAAAACAAAATGGTGAAATAGAACTATTAAAAATATATTGTGAAAATTTCACATTCTGAATAATTTTATGTGACACACACAAACACACATATTTTACGAATGTATGCGCCAACAAATACATGATTGCACCAGCAGAAATTTAACAAAAAGTGGAAATGTCTGTGGCCATAGCATCTAAAAGCATTGTGAATATTCCGTCCATCAGACATAAAACAGATGCAACAGAAAGCAACCTACAGTATTAATAAGGGGTTAGGATCTTGGTGCTATAACAGAAATTTGATGTCATTAATCACCTTCTAACGTTATCAAATATTTATATCATCCAACCTCCACCTCCTTTTTTAATATTTCTAATTTTATACATTGTTTTGTTACAGTTTTACTGGCGTGTACATCCATAATGTTGGATATACAAGACTGTTTAGTTTAAGAGTTATTTAGTGACATAATATTTAATGATTATTTGGTTTTCATAACAAGTGTTAAAAGTTGATTATTTTAAAAGCAATAGATATGACAAGTTTTGGTACGTAACTTTGTATGAGTCGCATGTTTTGTATATAGTTTAATTGTAGTACTAGGCTTTTGTAATATCGTTGATGTCATCTTGCTCGAAACTCCTAAGTCTTTCTCGTTATGTTTAATCTAATCAAAAAACACTTTAGGCGAGAAAAAAAGAGGTGCAGCTAAACTGATAGCTATACTTATTTAATTCATTAGTTCGCGTTTTTTGTTCAAGTTGAGGAATGATGATAGATAAAACAAAATACGTGGCCTAGCTAACAAATGAATGAATACTTGCTGTAACGTTCTTATCAATGCTATAAGTGTAACTATCAGTTTAGGTACCAATTTTTATTTCGTTCTTTTAAGTCGCATGCTTGATCCTTTTTTCTTTTTTTTTTTGGTCACACCTTTATTTTCCACCTAAGATGTTTTTGATTACATATCATGACTTTTTGTCAATACACACCAACAAACCATAGCAAGTAAGAAAGTGACACTCGACAGTAACCAACGTTAGTTTTAGGATCTTACCCTATTATTCAGAACAGATCCTCCGGTGAGACAGCGGTAAGTATTCATATTTACAATGTTAAAATCAAGGGTTTGATTCCCTTCAGTGGACACAGCAGATAGCCTAATGTGGCTTTGCTATGAGAAGAAAAAAACACATGTTCGGAACAGACCTATACTTCCCAAAACCAACCAGATTCTTTAAAATATATCGTGATAGTTTTCCCTCTTTTAAACAGTGTTAATAACTTCCTTTATAGTACCTCCATGGAATCTACATTAACAGTTTCTTGTCATCATTCGCATGCACTCGGTACAGCCGTATCAAACATCATTATTTACGCTATTTGCTGAAGCTAATATCACGTGACGCTAACGCTCATTAATCAAAAAAATTTCATAAAATTTAACAAATTTATACTTTAGAGTTGGCAATGAATAATGAATAATAACCGGCCACCCGTATGATTCTTTTGAAAACTTGAGCTGGAACTGCTAATCTAGTTTGTTTGGCCTAACCAATACTTATGTATCAGCATGTCCTTTCACCCTATAGTTTTGCTGCTCTAAATCAGCCGTCTTTTAATCCGAATGACAAATAACTAATAACGGTCCACTTTTACTGTTAGGTGAAGCTGCAGTAAAAATTTTAGACCGATAGCTCACGTGACTTTTGCGTAGGCGTGGGAAAAAAAGGTTTGGTCAGATTTGAGCGTTTTTCGTTGAATAAGTTTGCACGTGTGGTTTATATTTAGACCTAATTTGAAACTTAATTGTAAGTTTTAAAGATCTATCAGTGTATCAAATTTGAAAAAAAAAATCTCTAGAAGTTAAGTAAGTTTTTTATCAAATAAAGTTTCCGTGTTTTCGGTGCGAAGGAAAAAAAGGGAGGAAATATTTCAAGCAAAATTGGAGATTTTATATCTCGTGTATTTCCTAATGGATTGCCTTGAAACTTTGTAAGTGAAGTAAAGGTTCAGTAGAGCACATCCACTGAAAATATGTGATAGTTTGGGTTAACATGTTCCTGTTAAGAGTCTTGATATTGTTGTCACTAGAGGGCTAGATATTTATAGATTTTTTTGTCGCGTGTTATAAATACATGAAGATACAGAAAGGAAGTTAAGTTAGTGAAAGTAAGACAAAGTTAGTGAGAGATCTAGATCTAGACTGTGTTTGTAAGATTAGCCATAAAGAGTAAGTAGATAGTGGCGACATTTAAAGTGTTATAATCACAGAATGTATTGTAATAAACAGAGTAGAGAAGAAAAATTCGTCTTGTCAGTTGGTTCTGAAGTAGCTGAACCAGCCTATGTGGAATTTTGACATAAAAGAGAATAACTTAGAGCTATGTATATAACTGTGGTAACCCATGGGGTAAAGTAAGTGAACACATCACTAATTATATTGTGATAACAGAGAAGAGGAGAATAATTTGCTTGTTAAGGGGTGTTCTAAATTACTTGAACCCGCCTGTATGGGCTTAGACGAAAAAGAGACAATTATTTAAAGTTCTGGATACCACTGTTATAACCAATAATGTAATGAATTTTTGTACATACGTTTGACATATTTTGAATATATTATTTAAAAACAAGTAGATTGTGTGAAGTCCGTTTATTGTTCAAATTTATCGCCAATAAGTCACAGAGGCCTACTGCAAAGAATCCCGGCCCATCCACACATACATTAAAAATACGACACATTATAAACATGTATTTTTACACAGTTATCTCGTCAGGGCTTAAAAAGTTGAGTAATCGCCTGTACACCTTTGATGTAACAGATAATTGTGATATATATATGACTAGTAAGTTATAGATTTATTAGGTAAATAGTTTTGTTGTTTCAACAAAAGTATCAAATTATCCATTTAACATTTTATAACTATCGGTTTGAATTTGACGATTGTGAACAAAAAAATAGTTAAATATTGCGTTAATGTACAGGTAACAAATTATATTTTTTGCTTAATACACATACGAATGATTCAGTTCTGTAATTGAATGTTCTTGCTACCAGGTAAAGGGTCTAAATAAACCATGGAATTATTTTCCGTTGTTCATCAATTGGGCAATGATACTTCTAGGTTACGTATACATTTATACCTTACCAAAATATATTGCATAAAAACATTGTTGTAAAATATAGATGTATGCAAGTAAGAAATTCAAAAACATTTTTTCATCTTATTTTCAAAATGCGTGAAATGGAGAATTATTATATCATCCGTTTTAAATATATGTGAGTATGTAACTTTATTTATAGATAATGTATATAAGTTGCAGGTGAATATATCGTTATATAATGGATGAATGTTTTTACCTTGTTGGTGTTAAACGTGTAAAATCTGGTCAGGTGATTTTATGGTATTTGTTGGCGGATCTTTCAAATGTGGAAAACAGAGGGGAAGTAGTGTCGCTTTTTTTTTTTGCTTGCATAACTCTTGGAAAATCGACAAAGGTGAAGATGCAATTTAGTTTAAAAGGTTTTGAAACTTGCATGTAAATATACACTTTAATAACATGTCTTGTAATATAGTAATAAATACATTGTCATTTTTGGAAAGCATTAAACAAAACCTTATTTCTTATCAATTCAAGTTGTCATTAAATAATTCAGATTTATTTCACACCACTGATATTTTGGCATTTTAATTAATTGTATTTTAAAGACATGTGGTGGTAAACAGATTTTCAAACAATTATATTACATTATGTGTCAAAGATATAGATTTTAAAGGCAGTTGCTTTCCACTTTAAAATTTGAACTCGTACGCACACTAATACTACTAATAATAATAATAATTCAGTCGCACATTTTAAGCTAAGTATGCTAATCTAGCGGCGCGAGACCGAAGATAAGAACCTGACGCTTCGATGAAGATTTGAGCACCTATATATTTGGCTCATGGCAAATTCCCGACCATTATACATTATAATGTTTCTCTGGTTGGATTATGGCTGGAGAATTCCGTCACAGCCTTTTCTAATAAGCGATATTAAGATAGCGAAACTGTTAAAGGTGTAGAACTAAAGGAAACGTTTCAAGGGGGAAACTTTTAGAGCGTTGCATTTAGTCTAGGAACAAGCTCTGAAACCACACCACACATCAATCCAGATCAACGCCTTCATCTGCAAAGTAAATGCTATGGTTGCAAAAGGAACCCCCTCTGTCCCCCAAAAAATCACTGTGATAAAGACTAAATTAGAATTTCAAACTCGTAAACTTTCAGCAACAACTGAACAATAACAACAGCTGTTTTCATGAGAAAGATAACTAAAGAACCTAGAACCACTGCAATTCCATTCGACCACATGCCTATCAAGTATCTCCACGCAGCTGCAATGAAAGTTTGTGTCATTAAAGACCATGTTAAACATGGTCTTACAATCCGAACGTCCACATGCAATGGAGCGTTTTTCAAGCATTGTGATTTAATATTTATCTTCATGCCCTTCGCTGAAGGTTGTTATAAAACGAATTAATTAATCATGTCATAACATTACGTGTGATAATTCAATTAACTCTCAGTATTCGATGACGAGGAACCCACTTTGAGACTAATAATGGTTGGACTTGTACCTGATGATGACAAAACCTTGTCAAAACGTTGTACATTTGCTGTTGTGTTAAACGTATTTAAAGTTTTTCTTCATTACCCATTCAAGCCGTCTCCAACCATTATTATAACTTTCAGTATGATAACAAGAAAGGTAAACTAGACATGACATTACCTTTCACAATTAAATTTAGCAAAATCATGGTTTTGAAAATTATGTGTATTGTTAATCATAGGATAAATAAAATATTTGACAAAAACTGTCCTAAAAACATAATCATACAGAGAAAAACGTCTAATGTACAAACGTTCTCAATAACAAGAGGTTAGAGATTTTAGAAAATAATTGATTCACCTTTTTCACAAGTTCCAGTAGATCTTTTAAAAAACCTTTCAGTTCTTCATTCTCTATTTTGCCATTTTTATCCTATATGAAATATAAGAGAATTAAACCGAACTGAACAGAATCTAAAATTAGAAAGGCCTTCTTGAAGATAATTTTCTTGTAGTTGAAAACAAAACAATTATATTTAAACATAACAATTCTATAAAGTAAAATAAATCGATATTTTATTATTTTAAGGCTACGTCATAGTGATATATCAAAACTAATAGAAAGGTAACAAAAATTTTTATGACAGAAAAAACTTCCAATATCTCTAATTATTACAGGCAATAAATGTGTTTAGTCCTTTTCTTCAAGTTTCCAATATCGCTACTTTACACAGAGATGACTCTTTATCTAAGCACATACACTATCCTACCAAAAGTCATGGGACACACCTCTGCAGGAAAATGAGTGTGACGATAAATATGCAAATAGTTTGGCCTATAAAGGTGATCAGCGGTGCGCTCGGAAGCCATTTCGAACTTGAACGCCGAACGATGAATACACGGAAAGAGCTAACAGAGTTTCAGAGAGGAAGGATAGTTGGATGTCATTTGGGGAATATGTCTCTACGTGCTATTGCAAACAATGTCGACCCTTCCTAGGTCGACAATTGGCAACGTGCTGAAGAAATGGAAGTTCGCAGGTAACAATGTGCCCATGAAACGACCAGGTAAGCGTGAAATACTGACTGAAAGGAGCCGACGCACCTTGAGAAGGTTGGGTACCTCATCTCACCGTCAGACCCTAGAGAATCTGTATTTGGAGATGCGAGCATCCACAGGCAATCCTCTAAGTGTTTACACGACACGTCGAGAGCTGCATGGCACGAATTTTCACGGAAGAGCTGCAGCCCACACGCTATTAATAACAAAATCAAATTCACACCGTCGATTGGCACGAGGCAAGGCACACTGAATCTGGACTGGGGATCAATGGAAATCGGTCCTGTGGAGAGACGAGTCATGCTACACGCTCTTCCAGTCTGATAGACGTGTTAGGGTATGGTAGATGCCTAGAAAACGCTTATTATCTGAGTGTGTTGTCCCAACGGTGAAGTCTAGAGGTGGCAGTATCATTGTCTGGGGGTGCTTCTCGTGCTATAGACTAAGTCCACTGGTCGCAGTGCATGGATTCACGAATGCTGAGTCCTACATTGATGTTGTGAATAATTCTGCTTGTCTTACATTGTGGCAATTTTATGGTACCGGCCCTTGCACCTTCCAAAAATATAATGCTCCATGTAACAAAGAAATGATTCTGAACACGTGGTTTGAAGAGAATAACATTGGAACATTGCAGTGTCCTGCACAGAGCCCGACCTCAACCCAACAGAACATATTTGGGGTGAACTGGAACACAAAATTAGGGCAAGACCAAGAAGGCCCGCTTCATTAGCGGAGTCTACTGATGCGGAGTTTATTAAAGGAGGAGTGGAGCACAATACCACCAGCTTTCTACCAGAAATTAGTAAACAGTCTTCCACGACGCACTGAAACAGTCATTAACGCCAAAGATGGGCCAACACGCTATTAATTTCTTGGAATAAAGACATGTTTTATTCATAACTACCCATGTCCCATGATTTTTGTAGGATGGTGTATATTAAGCCAAATCTCCCCAAACCTAAATTTAAAAATAAAAACATTTTCCGTCATCTTTCATTTTTAATCTAATAGTTCAGTTCTAAGTAGCTTACTCTATCATTCTTAAGTTTTTGCACTCAAGTCAAATTTTATGATTCTTTCCCAGATCATTGATTTTCTACGAAAATATTAATAATTCTGATTAAAAGCAAGCGTTCTGCTTAAATCAAAAATAAAATGCAACTTATAAATTAATGAAGCCAAATATGTATAAGAAACTGACTGGATGTAAGAAAATGAAAACTTCTAATAATTGGAATGTTACAAGAAAGCATTTTTCCTCGTACATTCCACTGTTCTACCTGTCTAGTTTACAAAGAGAATATATAAACAGGAAATAAAGACTGTACATACCCGGTCATACAAAGCAAAGACTCTCTCTATATCCTCTCTCGTAAGTTTGCTGCAGCCCTAATGAATATAAAGTTTAAATTTGTGTCAAGTTTGCTTCAAACATCCTGCATCTCATTGTATCATCTTTCAGTGAACATATGTCAAAGTATGAACTTTTTTCAACAAGAAAATTGCTTAAGAGTAAATGATTGTTTTTCTCGAAATTTCACCTTATGGATTGCTTATCAAAAATATATAACTATTGTAGATTTTCACCATACTGTGATGTCCCTACTGTACTCGATCGAGTCTATATATTTCTTTTCGCAATTTAATTAACTACCCAAACTCGAAGATGAGAATATAAAATTAAGAAAAATGAATTCTATTTCAATTTTATAAACATGGGGATACAATCCTTCACAAAATGCAGTTCTCCGCTGGTCATGTTATGGGTTTTATGTGAGTTTTTATGTTTCCAATTCATAACTCATTTCACTGAAATGTGAAAGAAACTTCAATACCAAATTCAGCTAAACAAGTGAATAGTCTCAAACTCTCTTTCGGAATCAAAGAACACAAAGGCGAGCTGCATCTAAACTCTACACTAAACCATTCTCTACACCTACAGCCACGAAGCTCCTCTCCATCATAAGCCTAATTAGGATGATGAGACAACATATTGCTCGAAGCTCTAGATTGCAATCAGTTATGATGTGTTTTGTTTTTCACGTTTGTTTTTACCTAACTTCTTGATTTTCTTGCATTCGAAGATTATTGCTCAATGCTATACTTGAAAAAAACTCAATAAATTAACATTTAGCCTAATTCAAGAGAACAACCCTATCCAACATTTAGTCTTTAGAGCTGTTAATCTCAACATAACTGCTTTGAAAACTCAGGACAAAAGGAGATGAAGAAAAGTATCAGTAAATTCTTACAGTTACCAGGCATTCTGATTATTTTCCAGTCTACGCCAGTACGTCTTCGTTGGTTCAACAAGACAACTGTGAATCACCTAACCAAGTTTTTGTTTAAATAACAAAGTAACTAAAAAACTAAGCCATCTTATGTGGTACCCAAACCACTGATCTACATAAAACTTAAGGAAAACCACACAGTAGAAAAGACCGCAAGACGTGGAAAAATAATGAAAAAAAAGTGTTCTAAATTATTAAAACACACGCCTATGACAACAACTTTATATTTATTTGCAACGTTTCGGACAAATGTCTTTCGTCAGGCAGTTTAAACCGTGTTACATTGAAAAAAGGCTTAGATAGAATCGTTGA